ATTATTCATTATAATCGGGAAAATAGTTTGTTTAGATTTTCAAAATCAGGTTTAAAATTGGTTATAAAACCACTTTATGATGAGAAATCCGGTTGGGTTTCAAAGCTAGTTTAAAATCATAAATCAGTTTTTTATTCTAATTTTAACAAAATAAATAACATTAAAATTTATTCTACACATAAACCTTTTTTTTTTAAATCTATTTAAAAATTGATTTATGGTTTAAATCATTGTGAAACCAATTTAGTTCTAAAACCAATTTATGGTTCAAAATCAATTTTAAAATCAATAGAAGTTTAATATATATTTCAAATCATAAACCAGTCGAAAACCATAATCAATTTTAAAACTTAACTTTAATTATAATTGTTTTAAAAACCAGTTTGAAACGATAATCAACTTTAAAACAGATTTAAATTATAGACAATTTATCCCTCTTTTTACCCACGGATAATGAATTCACAAAACATAATATAAAATAATTAATATATATATATATATATATAAGAAATGAAAGAAATTGGAATAAAAACATTAATATGAAGAAAACCTTGGGAAGTGGATAGTGATACTGATGAAGCGACAAAATGGATTGTTGGATTCTTGCATCTCTTTGAAATAAAGGGGAGGGGGAAACACAGAAGATAAAAGCCTCAAAACACACACAACATCTATAAAAAAAAACAACTTCAACAATGAAAATAAAAAGAAAAATAAACAAAAAGATTCAAAATATGATGTACCAAATACATCGGAGGCTAGAAATAACGCATTTTATAAAATTATTATTATTATTATTATAATTCAAATAATATTTTAAGTAATAAAAAAATTAATATAAGACCTTAAAACTTTTGTTTTCTTAATTTTGTTTATTTACATGCAAGAAATAGAATAGTTGAATGAAATGAACACACAAAATTAGAACCCACAAAATCATAAACCAAAAAGATGTCATCTTTATCAAAAAAAGAAAGCAAGCTTTCTATTCTTGACCCTCTTTTATGCTTTCTATTCGCGTAATAGTTGACACCATCAACACTTAGTAGAGACCAATTGAAATCAAAAAAACCCATGAAAACATAAAGACATGCAAAAAATAGAAAAATTGAATGAACCGATACAAAATTAAAGCCCACAAAATCATAAACAAAAAATATTTCATCTTTATAAAAGCTTTTTTTTTTTCTTGACCCTGTTTTATGGTTTTGCTTCCCATAACACTTGACACCATCAACACCCATTGCAGACTGATTGAAATCAGAAAACCCATGAAAACATAAAGTCAGTTTATTTACATGCAAGAAATAGAAAATTGAATTAACAAACATAAAATTAAAATCCACAAATTTATAAACCAAAAAGATTTTATCTTTATCGGAAAAAAAGAAGAAGAAGCAATCTTTCTTTTCTTGACCCTATTTTATGCATTCTCTTTTCATAACACATGACATCATCAACACCCATAGGAGAATAATCGAGACAACAACACTCCTAAAATTTCACGTAAGGAGTGACAACAATCGGTGTGTAACTGTAAGCAAGAATGAAAAAACTAAACAAAATGAAATTTAAAAGAATGAAAAAGAGAACACATTTCGTGAGAGATGTTGAAAGAAGAAAAGATAAAAAAGCATTGTGTATTTTGGGTATCTTAAAATAAACAAGTGAAGCACGTAGGAATGAGTGAGGGTATATATATTTACACAGTGCAAGTGTTTCAACAAAAACGAGGCAACTTGAGTTAAATTGGGAAAATAATGATGCTGACATTTTAACTAAGATGTCTTTTTCTAAATATTTTCAAAAAAGAAATATCAACCCATTAATGGCCCCTATATTAATTATGGTGCTCATTTTCCTTTAAAAAAAATTGATTTTAAGTTATCACAAATCTCGACGAGTGGCATTTCAATAAATTTCAGCTATGCTTAAAGTATGTATGTCACAGATTATGTTGGTGTTTATAAAAAAAGTAGACGATAAAAAAAAAAGTTTCAAAAAAGAAATATCAACCCGTTAATGGCCCCTATATTAATTATGGTGCTCATTTTCCTTTAAAAAAAATTGATTTTAAGTTATCACAAATCTCGATGAGTTGCATTTCAATAAATTTCAGCTATGCTTAAAGTATTTATGTCACAGATTATGTTGGTGTTTATAAAAAAAGTAGACGATAAAAAACAAAAAGTTTCAAAAAAGAAATATCAACCGATTAATGGCCCATATATTAAATATGGTGCTCATTTTCCTTTAAAAAATTAATTTTTAAGTTATTTAAGTTGTTGTATAACGGGAGAAAACCCAAGTTAAGGGGCTGGTTCCATAATTTTACTTTCTTTTTTTCTTTTTGTTTTTTTTACACATTTGTTTTATAACATGTTAACTCGAATATCGATTAACTAGTTTTAACAGTTGACACCAAACATACTGGATTTTGTTCATTTAGACTATGTTTTTCAGGAGTCATTTTCATTTATTCTTGTGATGAATAAAACATTCATATTATATTTAGCAACTAAATATTGTTGGCATCAGAATCACAGAGAACCATGAAAGAATTTTACTTCCTTATTCATCATATGTCAACTAAAAGTCACCACCCAATAACAACCACGTTTTTCAAATTTAAGGGTTGAAACAAGTTTATAGGATTTATATTCCCTAAATTTTCCCATGATAAATAAAAAATAATCTCATAATAGCAATCTAATAATCATCACATCAGAGACAGGAATAACCATTAAAGGTTCATACACCCCTTTTCCATCATCAGCTAATTAAAAGAATAATTATGCAACAACTTTCTAGGGTTTATGTACCCTTATCCTTTCATGATGAATAAAACATTCATATTATATTTAGCAACTAAATATTGTCAACATCAGAATCACGGAGAACCATGAAAGATTCTTACTTCTTTATTCATCATATGTCAACTAAAAGTTACCATTCAATAACAACCACATTTTTCAAATTTAAGGTTTGAAACAAGTTTATAAGAATTATATGCTCTAAATTTTCTCTTGATAAATAGCAAATCATCTCATAATAGGAATCTCATAATCATGACATCAAAGACAGGAATAACCATTAACGATTCTTACACCCCTTTTCCATCATTTGCTAATTAAAAGAATAATTAGGCAACAACTTTCTAGGGTTTATGTTCCCTTATTCTTTCATGATGAATAAAACACATTGATATTATACTTAACAACTAAATATTGTTGACATCAGAATAACGGAGAACCATGAAAGATTCTTACCTCCTTATTTATCATATGTCAACTAAAAGTCACCATTCAATAACAATTTTGTTTTTTTTACACATTTGTTTTATAACATGTTAACTCGAATATCGATTAACTAGTTTTAACAGTTGGCACCAAACATACTGGATTTTGTTCATTTAGACTATGTTTTTCAGGAGTCATTTTCATTTATTCTTGTCAATTGCATGTTATAGTAGCAACAAAATGTGTAGATATTCTTTACCCCGCCCTTATGCGTTCTGGGTGATTGGATTGTAAAATTGAGTTTCTGCACCAAATGGAAGAAGGGCTCGGATTTTACAGGTTTAGTGTCTTCAAAATTTATCTGCATATTTTTGGAACATTGTCGACATCAGAATCACGGAGAACCATGAAAGATTGTTACTTCCTTATTCATCATATATCAACTAAAAGTCACCATCCAATAACAACCACGTTTTTCAAATTTAAGGGTTGAAACAAGTTTATAGGATTTATATGCCCTAAATTTTCTCTTGATAAATAAAAAATCATCTTATAATAACAATCTCATAATCATGACATCAGAGACAGAAATAATCATTAAAAATTCTTACGCCCTTTTTCATCATCTGCCAATTAAAAGAATCATGTAAAAGCAACCAAATTTTCATGAAATTAAAATTAGGATAACTTTATAAAATTCATATACCCTAAGTTCTCTCACAATAAATGAAAACCTAATGTCATATTATCAACAACAAAATCAGGGACCGCTATACAAGAATTTTACACACTTATCATATTTCAAAATCAAGTTTAAAATCATGAACCGATTTTTTACTCTAATTTTAACAAAATAAATAATATTAAAATTTATTCTACACAAAGACTTGATTATTTTTATTAAATCTGTTTAAAATTGATTTATGGTTCAAATCATTGTGAAACAAATTTGGTTTTAAAACCAAATTATGGTTCAAAATCAATACAATTTTAATATATATTTCAAATCATAAACCAGTCGAAAACTATAATCAATTTTAAAACTAAACTTTAATTATAATTGTTTTAAAAACCAGTTTGAAACGATAATCAACTTTAAAACAAATTTAAATTATAGACATATTATCCCTCCCTTTACCTCATCAAATGCAAGTATGCTGCTATGGTGATACCCTCGGATAATGAATTCACGAAACATAATATAAAATCAATGTCATTGAATCCTTTAATTTCCAATAATCAAGCAAGACCCCTCCACCATAATATATCAGTGGTTAAAATCTTTTGATACTATACACAGACATTAAAAATAAGACTGGTTACATAGATTGGCAACAAGACATAATATCCAACGTAACAAACAAAAAGAACGGACAATTATAACTAGGTTCACCTGATGCCTTATTTTTCCAACTAACACCATAAGGTTTGGCCTCTCTCTTAGTCATCTATGTTTGGAGCCAGAATATACATCGTCATAACATGAGCAATCCAAATAATCATTACATACCTCAAAAAAATACCCCTGTCACTTCATTTTATTTCCTCTTACAGAATAAAGAAAGTAATCTTTCCACAAAATTTGAGCTCTTAAACTAAAGATCCAGGAACACCACAAAACAAAACAATTTTTTAATCAATTTATCATATTGAAACTTAACCCAAAGAAATAGACACACAAAATACACATAAAGTAGAAGGAGGTACACAAGTATGAAAACTATCCTGTGAAAATCCTAAAGTTAACATTTTGATATAAATTCACATGTAATAGTAAGACAGAATTAATCGATAGAGTAGATGATATAAATCTGAAATTGTACGACTTACATTATGGGCACCTATAGCTTGTAGTAAAACACAAGCCTCATCTTTTAGATTCAGCCGTTGTGATGGACCATTGATGCACACGTCACATCTGCATGAAAGGGGGCTTATAAGGAAAGCCACAATATGAAGGCTAACATGCAATAATAAATGACTCAAACATATTAACTCTACCAGTAAAACAGCGACGTTTCCACAAAATAATTCCTTAATTACAAAATGAAGCAAATATGCTAATGCAATTATCAAAGTAGGTAACTCAATACAGGCTATTATATTTTAGAATATCTTTTCACTCAAGTGGACGGTGAAACATTATAAAACTGCAAGGAATTGGGACAGAATTTCACATACAAGAGACATTTATGATGACTGAAATCCTCTCCAAAGTATTCAACAAGTGTTAGTGCTTGAAAGCATGAAGTATTCATTCCATATCTGAAAATATACATTAAGATCCGTAAACATCTTACTAAGATCTATTATTTTCAATAAAATTCAAGCAATATCAAATATTTTGTCTAATACTCTATTAATAGCTTAAATTTATTGAAAATTACAAATCTCGATGATTCTCGCATCTCACTAAAATTTATTATTTTCAATAAATTTTAAACAATCTCAAATGGTATTTTTTGTCTAACACACTTTGTTATAAGTTGAATTTTATCAAAAACTATAAATTTTGGTGGTTCTCGCATACCACTAAGATTTATTATTTCTAGTAAATTTCAAACAAATCTCTAATATTTTTTGTTTAATACTTTTATTATTAGCTTAAATATTTTGAAAATCACAAATCTTGATGACTCTCGCATCTCACAAAGATTTATTATTTTCAATAAATTACAAACAATCTCCAAAAATTTTGTCTAACACTCTCTTTTAATAGCTAAAATTTATCTAAAATTACTAATCTAGGTGATCCCCGCATCTCACAAAGATTTGATATGTTAAAAATAAATTTCAAACAATCTAAAATATTTTTGTGACTAACACTCTTTATTATATGAAATTTATTGAAAATCACAAATCTTTGTGACTCCCGCAACTCACCAAGGTTTATTATTTTCAATAAATTTCAAGGAATCTCCAATATTTCTTGTCTAACACTATTAATAACAGAAATTTATTGAAAATCATAAATCTCGGTAACTCCCACATCTGACCAAGATCTATTATTTTCAATAAATTTCAAGCAATCTACAAGATTTTGTCTAACACTCAATTAATAGCTGAAATTTATTAAAAATCACAAATCTAGGTGCCTCCTGCATCTCACTCACTCAGATTTATTATTTTCAATAAGTTTCAAACAATTTCCAATATATTTGGTATAACACTATTAATAGCTGAAAAATATTGAAAATTACAAATATCACAGACTCCCACATCTCACTAAGATTTACTATTTTCAATCAATTTCAAGCAATCTCCAATATTTTTTATCTTACATTCCATTAATAGCTAAAATTTATTGAAAATCACAAATCTCGGTAACTCTCGCAATTAACTAAGATTTATTGTTTTCAATAAATTTCAAGCAATTTCCATTAGTTTTTGTCTAACTCTATTAATAGTTGAAAAATATTGAAAATTACAAATATCAGAGACTCTCGCATCTCACTAAGATTTATTATTTTCAATAAATTTCAAACAATCTAAAATTATTTTTTACTCAAACACACTTCATTATAAGTTGAAATTTATTGAAAACCAGAAATTTTGATGACTAAAGCATCCCACTAAGATATATTATTTTCAATAAATTACAAACAATCTCCAATATTTTTTGTCTACAACTCAATTTTTGGCTCAAATATGTTGAAAAGCACAAATCTTGATGAGTCGCATTTCAATAAATTTCAGTTATGCTTAGAGTATGTATGTCACAGGTTATGTTGGTGTTTATAAAAAAAGTAAACGATAAAAAACAAAAAGTTTCAAAAAAGAAATATCAACCGATTAATGGCCCATATATTAATTATGGTGCTCATTTTCCTTTAAAAAATTAATTTTTAAGTTATTTAAGTTGTTGTATAACGGGAGAAAACAAACCTCAATTGCATCACGACGCAGAACCAACATGCCAGCCTCAACACATACAGTTTCAGCTGTGCTCCATTGAAATCATACGTAGAATGAGCAAGTTCTTCAAAGTTGACATCAAGGTGAACATTCATCTTCCTAGAATGGATCTAAAATATCAAAGTGAGAGCAGTTAGTAAATGTTCCAAAAATATGCAGATAAATTTTGAAGACACTAAACCTGTAAAATCCGAGCCCTTCTTCCATTTGGTGCAGAAACTCAATTTTACAATCCAATCACCCAGAACGCATAAGGGCGGGGTAAAGAATATCTACACAGTTTGTTGCTACTATAACATGCAATTGACAAGAATAAATGAAAATGACTCCCGAAAAACATAGTCTAAATGAACAAAATCCAAGTATGTTTGGTGCCAACTGTTAAAACTAGTTAATCGATATTCGAGTTAACATGTTATAAAACAAATGTGTAAAAAAAACAAAAAGAAAAAAAGAAAGTAAAATTATGGAACCAGCCCCTTAACTTGGGACTTTAAGTACCACAGACAGTAAAATTATTTATATCACTTTAATCAAGAAAAAACATACAGACAATAAGAATTAAAGACAAGCTTTAGTTCTGTCGTCACTACTAAAATCATCAAGCTATATGTGCAATTCCAAATTATTCATTATAATCGGGTAGATAAATCACACAAAGACAAGGACCAAGAGACACAAACATGTCACACACAAAGACAAAAACAAAAACACGAAAGGAATAAGAGAGATACAAATACAAACAAACAAATAGACACACAAAACACAAATCCTATCACAAAGACAAATAAATCACACATAAATAAAGACATCCATAGAGAAACAAAGATAAATTACACAAACACAAAGATTCTTACTTCCTTATCCATCATATGTCAACTAAAAGTAACCATCCAATAACAACCACATTTCTCAAATTTAAGGGTTGAAACAAGTTTATAAGATTTATATGCCCTAAATTTTCTCTTGTTAAATAAAAAATCATCTCATAATAGCAATCTCATAATCATGACATCAGAGACAAGAATAACCATTAAAGGTTCTTACACCACTTTTCCTTCATGCCAATTAAAAGAATAATTAGGCAACAACTTTTTAGGGTTTATGTTCCCTTATCCTTTCTTGATGAATAAAACATTCATATTATATTTAGCAACTAAATATTGTCAACATCAGAATCACGGAGAACCATGAAAGATTCTTACTTCCTTATTCATCATATGTCAACCAAAAGTCACAATTCAATAACAACCACATTTTTCAAATTTAAGGGTTTAAACAAGTTTATAGGATTTATATGCCCTAAATTTCGCCTTGATAAATAAAAAATCATCACATAATAGCAATCTCATAATCATGACATCAGAGATAAGAATAACCATTAAAGGTTCTTCCACCACTTTTCCATCATCTGCCAATTAAAAGAATAATTAGACAACAACTTTCTAGGGTTTATGCTCCTTTATCCTTTTATGAAGAATAAAACATTCATATTATATTTAGCAACTAAATACTTTTGACATCAAAATCACGGAGAACCATGAAAGATTCTTATTTCCTTATTCATCATATGTCAACTAAAAGTCACCATCCAATAACAACCACATTATTCAAATTTAAAGGTTGAAACAAGTTTATAAGATTTAATGCTCTAAATTTTCTCTTGATAAATAAAAAATCATCTCATAATAGCAATCTCATAATCATGACATCAGAGACAGGAATAACCATTAAAGGTTCTTACACCCCTTTTCCATCATCTGCTAATTAAAAGAATATTTAGGCAACAACTTTCTAGGATTTATGTTCCCTTATCCTTTCATGATGAATAAAACATTCATATTATATTTAGCAACTAAATATTGTTGACATCAGAATCACGCAGAACCATGAAAGATTCTTACTTCCTTAATCATCATATGTCAACTAAAAGTCACTATTCAATAACAACCACGTTTTTCAAATTTAAGGGGTGAAAGAAGTTTATAGGATTTATATGCCCTAAATTTTCTCTTGATGAATAAAAAATCATCTCATAATAGCAATCTCATAATCATGACATCAGAGAGAGGAATAACCATTAAAGGTTCTTACACCCCTTGTCCATCATCTGCCAAGTAAAAGAATAATTAGGCAACAACTTTCTAGGGTTTATGTTCCCTTATCCTTTCATGATAAATAAAACATTCATATTATATTTAGTAACTAAATATTGTTGACATCAGAATCACGGAGAACCATGAAAGATTCTTACTTCCTTATTCATCATATGTCAACTAAAAGTCACCATTCAATAACAACCATGTTTTTCAAATTTAAGGGTTGAAAAAAGTTTATAGGATTGATATGCCCTAAGTTTTCTCTTGATAAATAAAAAATCATCTCATAATAGCAATCTCATAATCATGACATCAGAGACAGGAATAACCATTAAAGGTTCTTACCCCTTTTCCATCATCTGCCAAGTAAAAGAATAATTAGCCAACAACTTTCTAGGGTTTATGTTCCCTTATCCTTTCATGAATAAAACATTCATATTATATTTAGCAACTAAATATTGTTAACATCAGAATCGCAAAGAACCATGAAAGATTCTTACTTCCTTATTCATCATATGTCAACTAAAAGTCACCATCCAATAACAACCACGTTTTTCAAATTTCAGGGTTGAAACAAGTTTATAGGATTTATATGCCCCAAATTTTCTCTTGATAAATAAAAAATCATCTCATAATAGCAATCTCATAATCATGACATCAGAGACAGGAATAACCATTAAAGGTTCTTATACCCTTTTTTCATCATTTGCCAATTAAAAGAATAATTAAGCAACAACTTTCTAGGGTTTATGTTCGCTTATCCTATGATAATGAATGAAACATTCATATTATATTTAGCAACTAAATATTGTTGACATCAAAACCACTGAGAACAATGAAAGATTCTTACTTCCATATTCATCATATGTCAACTAAAAGTCACCATCCAATAACAACCACGTTTTTCAAATTTAAGGGTTGAAAAAAAATTATAAGATTTATATGCCCTAAATTTTCTCTTGATAAATAAAAAATCATCTTATAATAGCAATCTCATAATCATGACATCAGAGACAGGAATAACCATTAAAGGTTTTTACACTCCTTATCCATCATCTGCCAATTAAAAGAATAATTAGGCAACAACTTTCTAAGGTTTATGTTCCCTTATCCTTTCATGATGAATAAAACATTCATATTATATTTAGCAACTAAATTTTTTCTACATCAGAATCATGAAGAACCATGAAAGATTCTTACTTCCTTATTCAACATATGTCAAGCAAAAGTCACCATTCAATAACAATCACGTTTTTCAAATTTAAGAGTTGAAACAAGTTTATAGGATTTATATAACAGTCTGATCTTGAGTAGAACGATAGGTCCAATAACAATTAATAATTATTAGAACATAAACTTTGATAACATATTAAGAAATGAATTATAAGAGTCTAAATATGATCTTATAATAAGATGATGACTACTTTCAACTTATACACATTATTATTATTATTATTATGATCTTATTATTGGTTGATATAAGATTTCAACGGAAAGGAGAAAAATTAAGGATTATTAATGAAGTGTTTGAAGTTATTAGGGTAACAATAAAGAGATCATCTCTCTTGATTCTAATATTAGATAAATACTTGAATAAAAATTATGGAATCATTGGATTTACTAAAAAAATTTGATATTTGATACTAAATAGTATATTAAATCATAATATAATTTTTGTTAAATTATATTTCAATTAATTTTAATTATAAATAGTAAAAATACAGTTATTTCATACTTAATATTTTAACAAATATCAAATAATAAGAAGGAACAATTACCTAGAAAGAATGAGAAAAAAAAAACTCAACATTTTGTTATTCACGTATAATAGATAACAAGATAATTTTATCTTAACTACAAAATATTCTAAAGATAAAATTATCCATATGTTATTCCTCATTTAATAACTATATTTTTTTTTACCATTGTTACAATAATTACTACTATTGTGGCTACCAATACTAACATAGTAATGTTGTCACAACAACTACATTATTCCCATAACATTGACCATTGTCTATTATCACTATTGTTACTTTTGTTGTTGTAGTTTGACATTATTATTATTAGTGATACATTTATTGTTATAATTATCATTATTATTACCATTGTGTTACTAATAGCATTATCAACACTTATTACATGCGATTTTTCCTGTGAATTTTTCACAAAAATTCGCAGGAAACGTTGTTCTTACAAATTTTCCTGCGAAATTTTATCTGCAGGTAATACCTTCGTGGATAATATTTTTTTGCGAATTTTAAAATTCGTAGAAAATTTTCCTGCAAATTTTTTTTGTAGGAAAGTTTTCTACAAAAAAAATTCGCAAGAAAGTTTCCTGCGAATTTTTTCACAAGAAATTTTGCAGGAATATTGTTTACAAAAAAAATTAAAGAAATTACTATAAATTCTATCAATAATTTTTTAACTTTCAAATGCTCACAATGAATTCATCCGAAATATTTGTTTCCATGCCTCCAACATGTGATACATAATCTTTTAAATTCTAAAAGTGTAGATTTTAAGCGTAACACTCAACCATATAAATCAACTTGTAAGGTAAGTGTTGCCCCAACTTATATACTCTTTAATTGCTTTATTTTCAATCGATGTGGGAAAAAAAAATCATAAACTAGTTCTTTGTCTCTCACTTTTATGTAGAGGTTAAACTTTTTTGACACTGGATTGTCCCTTTATGCGATTTGAAGATAGATATTTTTATTTAGTAATGTAGTTTGATTTGATATAACTTAAAATATTTAAATTAAAATTATTTGATTAAAGATATTTTTAATAATTTTTATTTAATAATAATATAAAAAGAATAAAAGTTTAAAAGTTATAAGGAAAAGAAAAAATAGAAATTTTATTACAATCAAAAAACTTAAAATGAAAGGAAGAATTACCTCACAGATATCGTCTGTATCTGCAATGGTGCAATGGGTTTTACCTTAACACTCACAATTTTCTTCAAAGACCTCAATGGAAGCTCTCTTAACACTGCATGAGCACTACATCCAGAGAGTTCCTCCTCCCATAATGCAGTTTTGGGACCACCAAAGCTTTGGGATCCATTTGTAAAAATTAAAAAGGTATCAACTATTTTATAATAAAACATAAATCCTATCCATGAGTCTAGCTAAGCAAAACAAATGCAACTAAAAATAAGAACGGGAACATTATATTAGCATAAAAAAAGACCTTGGTTGTAACTAACTGTCTTAAGCTTAGCTTGTGTCTGCTCTTTAAATCAATTGCATCAACTATCACCTAGCATTAAACGATATATACACAAAAGCTTAAGATAATTATTTATATAAATACTATTAATATCACATAAGTAAAATTGATAATGGGATTTTTTACATGGAGATAAGCATGCAACTTAAGTAACCTATTTCACTACTATTTAGATTAATACCATAGCAAAAGACACAAAATCTGATACTGAAAGCAATTGAAAAACCCTTCAAAACAAAAGTACGCATATTCCAAAATTCTTTTTGGCACTTCGATCAGTGACTACATACACCTTTTATAATAATGTAAGTTCAGGTTTGAAAGAATTACTGAGTGAATTATTGGAAAGTCCAAAATTTAGAGTCAAAGAGAGTAAGAAGCGAAAGGTAGTGATATATGTAGTCAGACAAAAACATAGGGAGGTAGAATCAAACACCCCGGTTGATCGGCAAGAAGAATATATATATATATATATATAAGAAATGAAAGAAATTGGAATAAAAACATTAATATGAAGAAAACCTTGGGAAGTGGATAGTGATGCTGATAAAGCGACAAAATGGATTGTTGGATTCTTGCATCTCTTTGAAATAAAGGGGAGGGGGAAACACAGAAGATAAAAGCCTCAAAACACACGCAACATCTATAAAAAAAACAACTTCAACAATGAAAATAAAAAGAAAAATAAACAAAAAGATTCAAAATATGATGTACCAAATACATCGGAGGCTAGAAATAACGCATTTTATAAAATTATTATTATTATTATTATAATTCAAATAATATTTTAAGTAATAAAAAAATTAATATAAGACCTTAAAAATTTTGTTTTCTTAATTTTGTTTATTTACATGCAAGAAATAGAATAGTTGAATGAAATGAACACACAAAATTAGAACCCACAAAATCATAAACCAAAAAGATGTCATCTTTATCAAAAAAAGAAAGCAAGCTTTCTATTCTTGACCCTCTTTTATGCTTTCTCTTCGCGTAATAGTTGACACCATCAACACTTAGTAGAGACCAATTGAAATCAAAAAAACCCATGAAAACATAAAGACATGCAAAAAATAGAAAAATTGAATGAACCGATACAAAATTAAAGCCCACAAAATCATAAACAAAAAATATTTCATCTTTATAAAAGCTTTTTTTTTTTCTTGACCCTGTTTTATGGTTTTGCTTCCCATAACACTTGACACCATCAACACCCATTGCAGACTGATTGAAATCAGAAAACCCATGAAAACATAAAGTCAGTTTATTTACATGCAAGAAATAGAAAATTGAATTAACAAACATAAAATTAAAATCCACAAATTTATAAACCAAAAAGATTTTATCTTTATCGGAAAAAAAGAAGAAGAAGCAATCTTTCTTTTCTTGACCCTATTTTATGCATTCTCTTTTCATAACACATGACATCATCAACACCCATAGGAGAATAATCGAGACAACAACACTCCTAAAATTTCACGTAAGGAGTGACAACAATCGGTGTGTAACTGTAAGCAAGAATGAAAAAACTAAACAAAATGAAATTTAAAAGAATGAAAAAGAGAACACATTTCGTGAGAGATGTTGAAAGAAGAAAAGATAAAAAAGCATTGTGTATTTTGGGTATCTTAAAATAAACAAGTGAAGCACGTAGGAATGAGTGAGGGTATATATATTTACACAGTGCAAGTGTTTCAACAAAAACGAGGCAACTTGAGTTAAATTGGGAAAATAATGATGCTGACATTTTAACTAAGATGTCTTTTTCTAAATATTTTGTTATATTTAATTTTTATATATTATATAATTAATTATATTATTTAAGAATTCAAATATTTTATATAATATATTAATAATAATGTAAAGGTTGCTTACATTATTATTTGTTAAGCTTGTTATTTTATAATTATTAATATTTTAACTTGTTTATTATATAGATAAATATTTATTTTATGCAATTAAAATTTATTAAAATTTATAATAAATAATTATATTTATATAAATTATATTTTAAACTTATTATAAATAATTTATAGTTATATAAAACTCTTTTAATCATTGACAGTTTTTAAAATATATTAAAATTCAATTTAAAAAATAAAAATGATAAATTTTAAAAAAGTGATTAAAAAAAATATTTTAAAAAGCACGACACTTAAAAAAACTAAAAAAACTATCATTAAAAAAAATTCCTAAACTCCTTTAATATAATTATTCTAATTTATATATAAATGGTTTTAAAATATAATTATTTTTTACAGAAAAAATATCGTTATGTGGGTATTGTATTTGGCATTTACACACATTTTATCCTCTTTTTACACAACCAACAAGAGGGGAGATCAATTTTATTTCTCGTTTTTCATTTTTTCCAAAAAAAAATCTAAAATTTACCTTATTCAACTTTTTTTTTCTTTCCATTTCTTTTTATACACTCCTTTAGTGATTATGTATGTCACAGGTTATGTTGGTGTTTATAAAAAAAGTAGACGATAAAAAAAAACTTTCAAAAAAGAAATATCAACCCATTAATGGCCCCTATATTAATTATGGTGCTCATTTTCCTTTAAAAAAAATTGATTTTAAGTTATCACAAATCTCGACGAGTGGCATTTCAATAAATTTCAGCTATGCTTAAAGTATGTATGTCACAGATTATGTTGGTGTTTATAAAAAAAGTAGACGATAAAAAAAAAAGTTTCAAAAAAGAAATATCAACCCGTTAATGGCCCCTATATTAATTATGGTGCTCATTTTCCTTTAAAAAAAATTGATTTTAAGTTATCACAAATCTCGATGAGTTGCATTTCAATAAATTTCAGCTATGCTTAAAGTATTTATGTCACAGATTATGTTGGTGTTTATAAAAAAAGTAGACGATAAAAAACAAAAAGTTTCAAAAAAGAAATATCAACCGATTAATGGCCCATATATTAATTATGGTGCTCATTTTCCTTTAAAAAATTAATTTTTAAGTTATTTAAGTTGTTGTATAACGGGAGAAAACAAACCTCAATTGCATCACGACGCAGAACCAACATGCCAGCCTCAACACATACAGCTTCAGCTGTGCTCCATTGAAATCATACGTAGAATGAGCAAGTTCTTCAAAGTTGACATCAAGGTGAACATTCATCTTCCTAGAATGGATCTAAAATATCAAAGTGAGAGCAGTTAGTAAATGTTCCAAAAATATGCAGATAAATTTTGAAGACACTAAACCTGTAAAATCCGAGCCCTTCTTCCATTTGGTGCAGAAACTCAATTTTACAATCCAATCACCCAGAACGCATAAGGGCGGGGTAAAGAATATCTACACATTTTGTTGCTACTATAACATGCAATTGACAAGAATAAATGAAAATGACTCCTGAAAAACATAGTCTAAATGAACAAAATCCAGTATGTTTGGTGCCAACTGTTAAAACTAGTTAATCGATATTCGAGTTAACATGTTATAAAACAAATGTGTAAAAAAAACAAAAAAAAAAAAGAAAGTAAAATTATGGAACCAGCCCCTTAACTTGGGACTTTAAGTACCACAGACAGTAAAATTATTTATATCACTTTAATCAAGAAAAAACATACAGACAATAAGAATTAAAGACAAGCTTTAGTTCTGTCGTCACTACTAAAATCATCAAGCTATATGTGCAATTCCAAATTATTCATTATAATCGGGAAAATAGTTTGTTTAGATTTTCAAAATCAGGTTTAAAATTGGTTATAAAACCACTTTATGATGAGAAATCCGGTTGGGTTTCAAAGCTAGTTAGGTGAACATTCATCTTCCTAGAATGGATCTAAAATATCAAAGTGAGAGCAGTTAGTAAATGTTCCAAAAATATGCAGATAAATTTTGAAGACACTAAACCTGTAAAATCCGAGCCCTTCTTCCATTTGGTGCAGAAACTCAATTTTACAATCCAATCACCCAGAACGCATAAGGGCGGGGTAAAGAATATCTACACAGTTTGTTGCTACTATAACATGCAATTGACAAGAATAAATGAAAATGACTCCCGAAAAACATAGTCTAAATGAACAAAATCCAAGTATGTTTGGTGCCAACTGTTAAAACTAGTTAATCGATATTCGAGTTAACATGTTATAAAACAAATGTGTAAAAAAAACAAAAAGAAAAAAAGAAAGTAAAATTATGGAACCAGCCCCTTAACTTGGGACTTTAAGTACCACAGACAGTAAAATTATTTATATCACATTAATCAAGAAAAAACATACAGACAATAAGAATTAAAGACAAGCTTTAGTTCTGTCATCACTACTAAAACCATCAAGCTATATGTGCAATTCCAAATTATTCATTATAATCGGGAAAATAGTTTGTTTAGATTTTTAAAATCAGGTTTAAAATTGGTTATAAAACCACTTTATGATTAGAAATCCGGTTGGGTTTCAAAGCTAGTTTAAAATCATAAATCAGTTTTTTATTCTAATTTTAACAAAATAAATAATATTAAAATTTATTCTACACATAAACTTTTTTTTTTAAATCTATTTAAAAATTGATTTATGGTTTAAATCATTGTGAAACCAATTTAGTTCTAAAACCAATTTATGGTTCAAAATCAATTTTAAAATCAATAGAAGTTTAATATATATTTCAAATCATAAACCAGTCGAAAACCATAATCAATTTTAAAACTTAACTTTAATTATAATTGTTTTAAAAACCAGTTTGAAATTATAATCAACTTTAAAACAGATTTAAATTATAGACAATTTATCCCTCTTTTTACCCACGGATAATGAATTCACAAAACATAATATAAAATAATTATCATTATATATATATATATATATAAGAAATGAAAGAAATTGGAATAAAAACATTAATATGAAGAAAACCTTGGGAAGTGGATAGTGATACTGATGAAGCGACAAAATGGATTGTTGGATTCTTGCATCTCTTTGAAATAAAGGGGAGGGGGAAACACAGAAGATAAAAGCCTCAAAACACACACAACATCTATAAAAAAAAACAACTTCAACAATGAAAATAAAAAGAAAAATAAACAAAAAGATTCAAAATATGATGTACCAAATACATCGGAGGCTAGAAATAACGCATTTTATAAAATTATTATTATTATTATTATAATTCAAATAATATTTTAAGTAATAAAAAAATTAATATAAGACCTTAAAAATTTTGTTTTCTTAATTTTGTTTATTTACATGCAAGAAATAGAATAGTTGAATGAAATGAACACACAAAATTAGAACCCACAAAATCATAAACCAAAAAGATGTCATCTTTATCAAAAAAAGAAAGCAAGCTTTCTATTCTTGACCCTCTTTTATGCTTTCTCTTCGCGTAATAGTTGACACCATCAACACTTAGTAGAGACCAATTGAAATCAAAAAAACCCATGAAAACATAAAGACATGCAAAAAATAGAAAAATTGAATGAACCGATACAAAATTAAAGCCCACAAAATCATAAACAAAAAATATTTCATCTTTATAAAAGCTTTTTTTTTTTCTTGACCCTGTTTTATGGTTTTGCTTCCCATAACACTTGACACCATCAACACCCATTGCAGACTGATTGAAATCAGAAAACCCATGAAAACATAAAGTCAGTTTATTTACATGCAAGAAATAGAAAATTGAATTAACAAACATAAAATTAAAATCCACAAATTTATAAACCAAAAAGATTTTATCTTTATCGGAAAAAAAGAAGAAGAAGCAATCTTTCTTTTCTTGACCCTATTTTATGCATTCTCTTTTCATAACACATGACATCATCAACACCCATAGGAGAATAATCGAGATATATATATATATATATATAAGAAATGAAAGAAATTGGAATAAAAACATTAATATGAAGAAAACCTTGGGAAGTGGATAGTGATGCTGATAAAGCGACAAAATGGATTGTTGGATTCTTGCATCTCTTTGAAATAAAGGGGAGGGGGAAACACAGAAGATAAAAGCCTCAAAACACACGCAACATCTATAAAAAAAACAACTTCAACAATGAAAATAAAAAGAAAAATAAACAAAAAGATTCAAAATATGATGTACCAAATACATCGGAGGCTAGAAATAACGCATTTTATAAAATTATTATTATTATTATTATTATTATTATAATTCAAATAATATTTTAAGTAATAAAAAAATTAATATAAGACCTTAAAAATTTTGTTTTCTTAATTTTGTTTATTTACATGCAAGAAATAGAATAGTTGAATGAAATGAACACACAAAATTAGAACCCACAAAATCATAAACCAAAAAGATGTCATCTTTATCAAAAAAAGAAAGCAAGCTTTCTATTCTTGACCCTCTTTTATGCTTTCTCTTCGCGTAATAGTTGACACCATCAACACTTAGTAGAGACCAATTGAAATCAAAAAAACCCATGAAAACATAAAGACATGCAAAAAATAGAAAAATTGAATGAACCGATACAAAATTAAAGCCCACAAAATCATAAACAAAAAATATTTCATCTTTATAAAAGCTTTTTTTTTTTCTTGACCCTGTTTTATGGTTTTGCTTCCCATAACACTTGACACCATCAACACCCATTGCAGACTGATTGAAATCAGAAAACCCATGAAAACATAAAGTCAGTTTATTTACATGCAAGAAATAGAAAATTGAATTAACAAACATAAAATTAAAATCCACAAATTTATAAACCAAAAAGATTTTATCTTTATCGGAAAAAAAGAAGAAGAAGCAATCTTTCTTTTCTTGACCCTATTTTATGCATTCTCTTTTCATAACACATGACATCATCAACACCCATAGGAGAATAATCGAGACAACAACACTCCTAAAATTTCACGTAAGGAGTGACAACAATCGGTGTGTAACTGTAAGCAAGAATGAAAAAACTAAACAAAATGAAATTTAAAAGAATGAAAAAGAGAACACATTTCGTGAGAGATGTTGAAAGAAGAAAAGATAAAAAAGCATTGTGTATTTTGGGTATCTTAAAATAAACAAGTGAAGCACGTAGGAATGAGTGAGGGTATATATATTTACACAGTGCAAGTGTTTCAACAAAAACGAGGCAACTTGAGTTAAATTGGGAAAATAATGATGCTGACATTTTAACTAAGATGTCTTTTTCTAAATATTTTGTTATATTTAATTTTTATATATTATATAATTAATTATATTATTTAAGAATTCAAATATTTTATATAATATATTAATAATAATGTAAAGGTTGCTTACATTATTATTTGTTAAGCTTGTTATTTTATAATTATTAATATTTTAACTTGTTTATTATATAGATAAATATTTATTTTATGCAATTAAAATTTATTAAAATTTATAATAAATAATTATATTTATATAAATTATATTTTAAACTTATTATAAATAATTTATAGTTATATAAAACTCTTTTAATCATTGACAGTTTTTAAAATATATTAAAATTCAATTTAAAAAATAAAAATGATAAATTTTAAAAAAGTGATTAAAAAAAATATTTTAAAAAGCACGACACTTAAAAAAACTAAAAAAACTATCATTAAAAAAAATTCCTAAACTCCTTTAATATAATTATTCTAATTTATATATAAATGGTTTTAAAATATAATTATTTTTTACAGAAAAAATATCGTTATGTGGGTATTGTATTTGGCATTTACACACATTTTATCCTCTTTTTACACAACCAACAAGAGGGGAGATCAATTTTATTTCTCGTTTTTCATTTTTTCCAAAAAAAAATCTAAAATTTACCTTATTCAACTTTTTTTTTCTTTCCATTTCTTTTTATACACTCCTTTAGTGATCTCATTTTAAAATAAAATAATTTGATTTGAAAAATAAAATTAATATAAAATTATATTTGTTAAATGAATAATTAATAATTAATATTTTAATTTTTTTCTTCTCAAGTGAAAGATAAAGCAGATGTGTTAAGTATAATTGTATAAAGATTATAAATTTACTAAAATTTTAATTTTAATTGTTAATTTGTAATTAATGTTTATACTTTATTTTTTTAAAATTAACTTTTATTTTAGACCATCAATTTGTTTAAGTGTATATCTTTTTATCATGAACAAATCAGTTTGTACTCAAATTGCCTGTGCTGGGCATCTCGAAAAGTTGTTGAACATAAACAATATTCCAAATGACAGTTACGGCACTCCATGCATGGTCTTATTACAATGAATGGTGATATACAAATGTCTCACGATATAATAACTGTGATTAGATAAAATCTTAAAAAATTTATATAAAAAAATATAAATAAATTAAGTTTTTCTGAGCTAAAATTAATTAATGCACTTAGCTTATAAAGAAGCTTTCTTTCTTCTTTTTTTTTTACCGGTAAAAATTACAATAACAAATCTAAAATTTAAACTTAAGATCTTATTTATGTATATAACTTTAATCTCAAATTATTAAACAAATCCTATAAGTTCAGAAGCACTTTTATTTAATTATCCTCAAAAAGGTTGAATGCTATAAGTTGATATGAGTTAAACGTTTAAAAAATAATTATAAAAATTATTTCTTAAAAGATAAAAAAAATTGTTCATTTTTAAAATAATCAGTTTAGACAAACAGAGAAAAACAGAAAAATACTTATTTCATTAAAAAAATTAAATTAATAGATGAACCATTCATATATAAAGAGAAAAAAAACAATTAATTTTGGGCCAATTTAATCCTCTAAAATGGTTGAATGAATGCTATAAGTTGATATGAGAACAATTTATTAAAACTTTTAAAAAATGATTATAAAAATTATTTATTTCTTTAAAGATAAAAAGTTGCTTATTTTTAAAATAATCAGTTTAGACAAGCATCTAGAAGAAAAAAACAATTCATTTTGGGCCAATTTACAATAAACACATTAAAAGAATATAATAAACTCTGTATATGTTGTCAGCTAATAATTGATTCTAGTCACAATGATCATATTGGGTCAAAAATGTCAATTTAAATCAAGATCAAAATTTAAATCTTTATCTAATTGAACAAGTTTAAGCAACCAACTAATTAGCTCAACCAATGTCGTCACATCTAAACCATCTACATGCTATACTCTATTGCAAAAAAAAAAAAAAAATATATATATATATATATATATATACATATATATATATATAGCACAGTAATATAAAAAAAATCATAAACTAGTTCTTTGCCTCTATATATATATATATATATATATACACATATATATATATAGCACAGTAATATAAAAAAAAATCATAAACTAGTTCTTTGTCTCTCACTTTTATGTAGAGGTTAAACTTTTTTGACACTGGATTGTCCCTTTATGCGATTTGAAGATAGATATTTTTATTTAGTAATGTAGTTTGATTTGATATAACTTAAAATATTTAAATTAAAATTATTTGATTAAAGATATTTTTAATAATTTTTATTTAATAATAATATAAAAAGAATAAAAGTTTAAAAGTTATAAGGAAAAGAAAAAATAGAAATTTTATTACAATCAAAAAACTTAAAATGAAAGGAAGAATTACCTCACAGATATCGTCTGTATCTGCAATGGTGCAATGGGTTTTACCTTAACACTCACAATTTTCTTCAAAGACCTCAATGGAAGCTCTCTTAACACTGCATGAGCACTACATCCAGAGAGTTCCTCCTCCCATAATGCAGTTTTGGGACCACCAAAGCTTTGGGATCCATTTGTAAAAATTAAAAAGGTATCAACTATTTTATAATAAAACATAAATCCTATCCATGAGTCTAGCAAAGCAAAACAAATGCAACTAAAAATAAGAACGGGAACATTATATTAGCATAAAAAAAGACCTTGGTTGTAACTAACTGTCTTAAGCTTAGCTTGTGTCTGCTCTTTAAATCAATTGCATCAACTATCACCTAGCATTAAACGATATATACACAAAAGCTTAAGATAATTATTTATATAAATACTATTAATATCACATAAGTAAAATTGATAATGGGATTTTTTACATGGAGATAAGCATGCAACTTAAGTAACCTATTTCACTACTATTTAGATTAATACCATAGCAAAAGACACAAAATCTGATACTGAAAGCAATTGAAAAACCCTTCAAAACAAAAGTACGCATATTCCAAAATTCTTTTTGGCACTTCGATCAGTGACTACATACACCTTTTATAATAATGTAAGTTCAGGTTTGAAAGAATTACTGAGTGAATTATTGGAAAGTCCAAAATTTAGAGTCAAAGAGAGTAAGAAGCGAAAGGTAGTGATATATGTAGTCAGACAAAAACATAGGGAGGTAGAATCAAACACCCCGGTTGATCGGCAAGAAGAATACCGTAAAGACACTCATAGAAATATGATTAATTTTTAGATGTATACATACATGGTATCAGAATCTGAATAAATTCCTTGTCAAGTATTTTCGGTGCAACCTTTGTGCCATTCCAATTAGCTATTTGGTATGTACCCTGTAAATAGATGGGTCATACAATAGTGAAGAACTATAGGTGACAACTTTGGTTGCAGTGAATAATTATACATTGAATTTTTTATATGAATATTTTTGGTCTCGTTTGAGAGGAATGCATTGTGGTGATGTAAGGTTAGATGTATACATACATGGTATCAGAATCTGAATAAATTCCTTGTCAAGTATTTTCGGTGCAACCTTTGTGCCATTCCAATTAGCTATTTGGTATGTACCCTGTAAATAGATGGGTCATACAATAGTGAAGAACTATAGGTGACAACTTTGGTTGCAGTGAATAATTATACATTGAATTTTTTATATGAATACTTTTGGTGAGAGGAATGCATTGTGGTGATGTAAGTAGTGGAAAATCATAAAAGGTGGAAGTTTTGAGGAGGCTCTTGCGAGAGTACCATCAGACAAAATCAAATCAAATTAAATAGAAAAAGACATAATTCATCACATAAAACAAATGAGTCGTAAGTAAATGCCATCATCCACCTTTAAGCCAAAACCAGCATGAACAAAATTATTACAAAAAATGAACATATTTCTCTATTTGTTGGAATTATTGGCTGGCAGCATAGTTACTCTGAAGCAGCAACGCCGTTGTTGACCTGCGAAGAATCAGGAAGGTGAATGAAGTGAGAAAGAAGAATTTGCGACATCAGAGAGAGGAATAATCAATGATTATATAATAACATAATCTGAATCATCTGAGATGAAAGCCTTTCCATTTCCATCAATATTTTGCCTTTCTGCCACATACTTTAATCAATTCACAAAAATCTTTTCCATAAGAAGCCTTTGATGTTCGATAATCCTTTACCTGTATAGAGCCACAATGAATCTTAAGAGTAACAAGATTGTATATTTAGAGATGAATGTAAAAGTTATAGTCAACAAACTCACCATGAAGCATAAATTAGATCGAAAAAATGATGTAAGAACAACATTTGTTTCTGTTGATCTCTCAAATTACAGGGATTTTAGCTTACTAGCAATAAAATTTTCCCTCAGCACAGACAGTCGGCTGAAACAAAAACAAACATTTTAAAACAGGTCATATTTATGACATTCACAATAGACTAAAAACATTAAATAATACGTGAAGTGTGCACCAAACAAAGAACAAATGAAATGTGCATGATCACCAATCAAATTAACCAATAACTGATCTATCTTTCTTCAATATGCAATTTAAGATGTTCTAAGTAAACTCATCAAGCCAGTTCATCTCCATAAGCCATAAACAGTAAGGATACACTGGGGTTAAAAAACAGACCTATAGTCTGGATGGAAATCATGACCCCATTTAGAAACACAATGTACTTCATCAATTGCAAATAAAGAATTACCGTGAATTTCTGCAAGCTTCTGCAATGGTTGAAA